AGTGTCGCGTGATGATGGTTTATCGTCCTTGGCGAGAAAATGCTGGTGGTGATGATGGGTCCGGCGGTCGAGGCTAACCGCGGGGTGGAAGCTAAAGGCGTCATTGGGAGCCGGAACCAGAGTCGCAGAATGTTTGTCAATGCCGGAGGAAATCCGATGAGGTTTCAAGCTCTTTTTCACAAATGTCCAGCAGGAAAACCAGAATCAGAATATATTTTCTTGGTTCTTTCGGTAAAGTCACGTAGAAGGGAAATAATAAAAAAAAACATAATAAAATAATTCTCACGACGTTTCGGCCACAACGCAAGCAGCCGTTCTCGGGTGAAGAACAAGTCTGTCGGAAAGACAGCGTCTGAATCGAATCAGAATATATGTATCTGTACTGGGGGAAATCCGATTAGCTTTCAAGCTTTTTTCACAGATGTCCAACAGGGAAACCAGAATCAGAATATATGTATTTGTACTGCAGAAAATCCGATAAGCCTCGATTTAAAGCTTTCGTGACTGCAGGGATTCATCTTCTTGGTTCTTTCGGTAAAGTCCCGTAGAAGGGAAGTAATACAATCATAAAAATAAAACATAATAAAATAATTCTCACCATTATTATGTTTTATTTTTATAATTGTATTACTTCCCTTCTACGTGACTTTACCGAAAGAACCAAGAAGATGAATCCGATAAGCCATCAAGCTCTTTTTCTGGCACAGATGTCCAGCAGCCACACGCCACCAACCAGAGATGTAGGGTCCCTGAAGACGGCTGCTTGCGTTGTAGCCGAAACGTCGTGAGAATTATTTTATTATGTTTTATTTTTATTATTTTATTCTTTCAACTACGTGACTTTACCGAAAGAACCAAGAAGATGTAGGGTCCCTCCCTCGCCCCCCCGCACCACCACCACGTGGAGATGGAGCGATGGAATCAGCTAGCGCAGCGAAGATGGATTATCCAACAAGGCGTCTCTCTCTGCGGCTCCATGCGGTGTCGATCCATCCATCTCGCTCCGTGGGGGACACGAGGGGTGGGGAGCGGCCGCTGATGTAATCGCTCCATCTCCACGATGGTTGTACCCTCCCCCCCCCTCTCCTCCGGGTGTGTTCCCTTAGTCATTTGTTTTTATTTTCTAGGCTTCGGCTGCTGCTGCTGCATTGTTCCCGTGTTGTTGTGTGTCCAGCCCTGGACGGACATTGTACGTTTCGTTGAACTTTTATCGCGCAAAAAATTCTAGATTTGAAGTTTTCGTGACCGCAAGGGGTCCATACTCTTTGGGGTTTTTTCGGTAAAGTCGCGTAGGTGAAGAAAGAAAGAAAGAAATGAAAGAGAAATGAAGAAAGAAAAGAAAAGAAAGAAAGAAAGGAAATAAATAAAATAAAAATAAATTAAATCACGATTCATTTTAATTTTCTTTCTTTCGCACCGTACGTAACCAACAAGGGGGGGGGGGGAGAAGGGGAACAAACGAAACACGCGAAAAGCAGTTCCGTAAGAAACGAGTTTGTAGATTGAGATGATTTTTTTTTAAATCAAAGGGCCATCACAACTGCCCAGCGGCTTCCTGATAGCGGAAGGGGGGAGAGGGATAGAACGTTCCAGACGGCTGCGGGAACAGCTAGTGACACGTGCCACCCAAATCTCGATGACTCCCAACGAGCGGCCAACGCGTGAAATGTATCCAGGGTTGGCCAACACGTCTGGAATCATTGGGGGAAGTGGATAAGGAACGAATAGTTTTGAGTGTCAATGAAGGAAGAACGCGTCCCAGATGGAATTCCTATCGTGGGAGAAGAAATGCGAGTCGGATGGAGGTCGTTGTTGAATTTCCAGAGGCTGCATCCAGACCGCGAGACGCGAACACGTAGCCGTGTGTGTTTCTCTGATGATTACAGACTCATGGGACACCTCGTATATATATAGATATATAGATATGTGTGTACATATAGATGTATAAAAATCTATCTAGGTAAAGTCACGTAGAAGGGAAGTAATAAAATAATAAAAATAAAACACAATAAAATTATAAAATGATAATATTTAAACACATTAAAATAATAAAAATAAAACACAATAAAATATTATTTTATTGTGTTTTATTTTTATTATTTTAATATTTCCCTTCTACGTGACTTTACCGAAAGAACCAAGAAGATGAATCCCTGCAGTAACGAAAGCTTTAAATCGAAACATCTATCTAGATGTATATCTAAATACATATACATTTATATATATACAGATGTATATAGATGTCGAGATATCTATACATCTATATGTAGAGATGTAGAAATATGTAGAGATTTAGAGAGAAATATACAGAGATGACATTTAGAGAAATATCTCTATATTTATATATTTATATTAATAGAAAGATATCAGAATGGTTATTTAGACGAGAGGAGACATCTGAATAGCGGCGAAGCTGCCTTACACAGATGCACAGTATGGACAAGTCAGCAAGTTACGATTTTATATAGATATACCGTGATACTGTAGGTATACGTGGGGTCCCACGGTGGCTAGGAGATGTTAACTACCTCGCCTGGTGCGCAGGAGGTCGTGGGTTCGATCCCGACCCTGACGCCTGCTGCTGTATATTTGGAGCTTGCGTGTCTCTCCCTCTCATCATCATCATCATCACGGTGGCTAGGAGATGTTAACTACCTCGCCTGGTGTACAGGAGGTCGATGGGTTTGATCTCGACCTTGATGCCTGCTGCTGTATATTTTGAATTTGCGTCTCTCATCATCACGGCGGCTAGGAGATGTTAACTACCTCGCCTGGCGTGTAGGAGGTCGTGGGTTCGATCCCAACGCTGACGCCTGCTGCTGTATATTTGGAGTGTGCGTCTCTCATCATCACGGCGGCTATGAGATGTTAACTACCTCGCCTGATACACAGGAGGTCGTGGGATCGATCCCGACCCTGACGCCTGCTGCTGTATATTTGGAGTATGCGTCTCTCGTCATCATCAGGGTGGCTAGGAAATGTTAACTACCTCGCCTGGTACACAGGAGGTCGTGGGTTCGATCACGACCCTTGACGATGCCTGCTGCTGCTGCTGTATATTTGTAGTTTGCGTGTCTCTCTCTCTCCTCTCTCTCCCCGTGGTCGCGTGGATTTTTCTCCGGGCGACCTCCGGGTTTCTCTCCTCGTTGACAATCAGCGTCCTCACGCGTCCACACTATCTGGCTGCAGCTATAAATGTCCACGCCACGAAGATGATGATGATGTTGATGAAGATGATGATGTAGATGATGATGATGATGATAATGATGATGATAGCGATGAAGATGATGACGATGAAAATGATGAAGAAGATGATGATGATGATGATAATGATGATGATGTTGATGATGATGATGATGATAACGATGAAGATGATGATTATGATGACGATGATGATTATGATGATTATGATGATGATGATTATGATAATGCTTATGATGATGAAGATGATGATAATGATGATAACGATCATGATGATGATAACGATGAAGATGATGAAGATGATGATGATAACGATGATAACGATGATGATAATAAGCCACCAGCACTTCGCTTAGACATCGTCTGTACCAGCGAGGGCCGCTTCTGCAACAAACAAAATAAATAAAAACTGCGCATCTCAGCGGGGCCTTACGTGGCAAAATAAACATCGCGAACAATATTGGAATCTTTCGATTTCAAGTTTCTTTCGTGACTGCAGGGATTCATCTTCTTGGTTCTTTCGGTAAAGTCACGTAGAATGGAAATAATAAAATAATAAAAATAAAACATAATAAAATAGTATTATTTTATTATGTTTTATAAAGTCACGTAGAATGGAAATAATAAAATAATAAAATAATAATAATAAAACATAATAAAATAATACTATTTTATTATGTTTTATTTTTATTATTTTATTATTTCCATTCTACGTGACTTTACCGAAAGAACCAAGAAGAATATTGCAATCTATCGATGCACACGTGTGTAAAATGTGCGTTTGTTGTCTGGAGATTGGATGCACGTGTCACAGCAGAAGCCATGCGAATGCGTGTTTCTTCTTCCTTGTCATCACCCCCCCCCCTCCCCACATCATTGTACTCAATGGGGGCGGTCACAACCTCTTTGTCTGTCTCACGCTAAGTTATTGATTCTATATATGTGTGTGTGTGTATACTCTAAAGTTGGGGAGCGGTGGTGCAGCGGTTAGCGCGCTGCGCTATGAACCCGGCGACCCGGGTTCGATTCCCGCTCACGGCTAACACCAGTGACAATAATCTGAACCGGTCCCGGGCCTCCCCTAGGTCGACTCAACCTCAAATGAGTACCTGGTGCGGTGTGTAAACATTGCCACTGGGGAGACAAAGGCGGTCGGGCGTGGTGCTGGCCACCCACCCCCTCGTGTACCGTTCCGGCCTTCATAGGTGCTCGCTAACAGCACTTGCCCCTACAGTCTGTTAAGGCTATATGGGGGATCTTTGTATACTCTAAAGTTCAGTTTTATAGGTAAGATGTATTCGATTGGAGCGGTGGCGCAGTGGTTAGCGCACTGCGCGACTCTCTCCAGTTGCCTCTCTCTCTCCTCTCCATGACTCCCCATTGGTGGAGCGGTGGTGCAGTGAGTGTGTTAGTCTGTCTGTGTGAGTGTTACTGTGTGTGAGTGCTAGTCTGTGTGAGTGTTACTGTGAGCGAGTGTTAGTCTGTGTGAGTGTTACTGTGAGCGAGCGTTAGTCTGTGTCTGTGTCTGAGTGTTAGTCTGAGTGAATGTTAGTCTGAGTGAGTGAGTGTGTGTCTGTGTGAGTGATAATGTGTGTGAGTGTTAGTCTGAGTGAGTGAGTGTGAGTTTGTGTGTGAGCGAGTGTTAGTGTGTGTGAGTGTTAGCAGAGGTGTGGACTCGAGTCATGTGACTTGGACTCGAGTCATGAATTTGATGACTTCAGACTCGACTTGGACTTGCATAACAATGACTTTGTCCCACCTCTGAGGTGTGGACTCGAGTCATGTGACTTGGACTCGAG